CCTCTAATGTACTTACATCCTTCCTCAAGGGTCAAAAACTGTATAAAGTGCTTCAGACGTGATCTCACCAATGTCTTGTACAGACTGACTCTGATGGATTGTGTTTTGACTTTCCAAACGTCCCATCATTACTTCCTTAATAATGGATTCAAACAATTCCTCAACAACATACATTAAACTAACTGGTCTGTGGTTTCCTACTTCCTGTCTTCCTCCTCTTTTTTGAATTAGGGCATGAAATTAGCATTTTTTTCAATCCAGACACCTTTCCAGAATCTAGAAATTTTAGAATATTATACTCAATGCTGTCACCACCTCTGTTCCCACTTCCTGTAAGACTCTAGGATGTAGGCCATCAGGTTCTAGGGACTGGTCTGCCTTTAATAACAATAGCTTGCTTAATACTTTTCCTCCTTGCAATGGTGACTGTTTTAAGTTCCTTCTTTACTATGAGCCTCTGCATTATCTATTGGGATGGTTTTAGTGGCCAGTATAAACTAAGACAAAATATTGATTTAGTTTCTACCATTTCTGTTTCTCCCAATTATTAACTCCCTGGTCTCGACTCTAAGGGACCAACATTCATTTCAGCTTCTCTCATCCTTTTTATGTACTGATAGAAACTTTTGCGATTCATTTCTGCATTTTGTGCTAGTTTTCTTTCATAATCAACGTTTGTCCATTTTATTACCTTTTTTAAAGCAACGCTTTGTTGGTAAAAGTTTCCCAATCCTCCAGCCTGCCACTGACCTTTCCAATAATGGCATGCCTTAACTTTTGCCTTACCTTAACTTAATGTTATCTTTAATTTCCTTACTTACCCATGGATGCTTTTCCACCTCTTACAACTTTTCCTCCTCTTGTGAATATATTTTCTTTGGGAAGAATTGAATAATTCCTTAAACATCTGCCACTACACATCAACTACCTTACCTTTGTCTTTCTGCCCAGTTCACTAGGACCAAACCATGCTGATGTAATTAACTTTGTTTAAAACAAGCATATTATTATGGGAAAGAGATAACAAGGTGTAGAGCTGGATGAACACAGCAGGCCAAGCAGCATCAGAGGAGCAGGAAGACTGACGTTTCGGGCCTAGACTCTTCTTCAGAAATGGGGGAGGGGAAGGGGGTTCTGAAATAAATAGGGAGAGGAGGGAGGCGGACAGAAGATGCAATCCGACCCCACCACCAAAGACATTTTTCCCTCCCCACCCTTATCTGTTTTCTGGAGGGACCACTCTCTCTGTGACTCCCTTGTCCGCTCCACACTCCCCTCCAGCCCCACCACATGCGGCACTTTTCCCTGCAACCGCAGGAAGTGCTACACCTGCCCCTACACCTTTCCCCTCACCCCCATCCCAGGCCCCAAGAAGACTTTCCACATCAAGCAGATGTTCACCTGCACATCTGCTAATGTGTTATACTGCATCCGCTGTTCCCGTTGTGGCCTCCTCTACATCGGGGAAACCAAGCGGAGGCTTGTGGACCGCTTTGCAGAGCGTCTACGCTCAGTTCGCACTAAACAACCGCACCTCCCAGTCGCGAACCATTTCAACTCCCCCTCCCATTCCTCAGACAACATGTCCATCCTGGGCCTCCTGCAGTGCCGCAACGATGCCACCCGAAGGTTGCAGGAACAGCACCTCATATTCTGCTTGGGAACCCTGCAGCCCAATGGTATCAATGTGGACTTCACAAGCTTAAAAATCTCCCCTCCCCCTACCGCATCCCAAAACCAGCCCAGCTTGTCCGCGCCTCCCTAACCTGTCCTTCCTCCCACCTCTCCCCTCCTCCCACCTCAAGCCCCACCCCCATCTCCTACCTACTAACCTCATCCCGCCCCCTTGACCTGTCCATCCTCCTTGGACTGACCTATCGCCTCCCTAACTCCCCACCTACACTCACCTTTACTGGTTCCATCCCCGCCTCTTTGACCTGTCTGTCTCCTCTCCACGTATCTTCTCCCTATTTATTTTACATATTATTGTGGGACTCCAGTTTCTTGTCTTCCAACTGAATTTCAAGTTCTAACATGTTGTGAGCACTTGTCCCTCAAGGATTCTTTACGATGAGATCATTAACTAATCCCATCTCATTACACAACACTAATCCAGAATAGTGTCTTCCCTATTTGGTTCCCCAGCACATTGTTCCAAGAGATAATCAATAACACACTCTCCAAATGCTCCCTCGAAGCTACCCTTGCCAATTTGACTAATCCAGTCTATATCCATATTAAATCATTAAATCATAATTATTGTTCTGCCTTTCTTTCAAGCCCTCAGGATTTCCTAATTTATAGTGTTTCCTGCTGTGGAACTGCTCTTATAGAGTTAAATTTCTCCAACCAGGGACTTCTTTCCCTTGCTACTTTTTGTTTTTACTCAGATTGATTCTACATCTTAAAGCACAAGTCAGACCACACTGGAATACTGTGAACAGTTCTTGTCCTCTTGCCTAAGGAAAAATATACTGGCATTGGAGGCAGTTCAGAGAAGGTTCAAAAACAGAATTACTGGAAAAGCTCAGTAGGTCTGGCGGCATCTGTGGAGAGAAATCAGAGCTAACGTTTTGGGTCAAGTGACCCTTCTTCAGAACCTCAGAGAAAGTTCATTCGGTTGATCCCAAGTATGGAGGGATTTTCTTATGAAGAGAGGTTGAGTACATTGGGCTGTACTTATTGGAATTTTGAAGAATGAGAGGCAAACTTGTTGAAATATACAAGATTCTTCGCAAACTTAACAGGGTAGATGTGGAAAGGTTATTTCCTATTGTGAGAAAGTCTAGGACCAGAGGGCATAATCTCAGAATAAGGAGTTGAATATTTAAGACAAGAGAAAAGAAGGACTTTCTTCACTAAATGGGTAGTGAATCTGTGAAATTCTTTACTGCAAAGCATAGTTGAGGCTGGGTCATTATGTATACTCAGGGCTTAGATCTTTAATCAGTAAGGGAATAATAGGAAAAGGCAGGAAAGTGGAAATGAGGATTATCAAATCAGCTATGATCTCATTCAATGGCGGAGCAAACTCAATGGGCTGCTCCTACATCTTATGGTCACTCACATATCATTAACTCTGGTATCTTTGAAAGATCTATCCTCAGCTTCCTCTGGCTTCTCATCTGAATGCTGTCTCAACAACTGAAAGTGTTAATTTTCTCATGTACACTGATGACTCCAAGCTTGCTATTATCAATCTGAACTCTGATACTATCGCCAAATTATCAGACAGTTTATCCAACATCCAGTTCAGATCAGAACAAATTTTCCAAAATTAAGACATGGAAAAACTGCTCCTCCAAATTCTGTTTCAGAGATAGTAGGAACTGCAAATGCTGGAGAATCTGAGATAACAAGGTGTAGAGCGCAAAACGTCAGCCTTCCTGCTCCTCTGATGCTGCTTGGCCTGCTGTGTTCATCCAGCTCTACACCTTGTTACCTCCAAATTCTGTTCTCTAGCTACTATCTCAGCTGATGTTTGCTAATACTCATTATCATCCTGTGAAACAGTACCTTAACTTTATAATTTTCATACTCATTTCCAAATCCTTCCGTAGTCTGTCCTGTCCCTATTTCCTCCAGCCCCACAACTTTCAGCAATATCTGTGCTCTTCTACTTCTGTCAATTTAAGACTGAGATGACAAGGAACTTCTTCTCTCATAAAATTGAGAATCTATAGAACTCCTTGCCACAGACTGGGGGCACAGTCATTGTGTATACTTAATGCTGAGATAACAAGATTCTTGATCAGTGGGGAAATCAATGGTTTTAGGGAAACATCAAGGAAGTGGGTGTGAGACGTGTCCGATCAGCCATGATCCTACTGACTGGCAGATCGAGCTTGAGGAACCAAACGACGTACTCCTGTTTCTATTTCTCAAGGTCTTAGGGCCGTCAGCATGCTGGATTTTGATTGACCAGGCAATCAGGGCTGTGCCTTCAGCTGCCTCACCCCTAAGCTTTGGAATTCCCTCTAAGCCTCCCAACTCTCGATTTCTCTTGTTTTTTTTAAGGTAAACCATGACCAAGCTTTTGGCCATCAATGCTAAAGTCACCAATTTTGCTTTACACAATATTTTGCTTTGTACTACTCCTGTGAAATGTTTGGAATAATTTATTACATAAATGTGTAATACAAATATAAGTTGCTGCTGTATTACCCTTCAATCCTCACAAGTATTTGACTCACAGCCATGAGAGAAAACAAAACAACATCATGTGTACACACAAAAAATCTTCACCTCATTCATGAACAGTAGTGGAGTGATGGTTCAGTTCAGAATAACACAAAAAGAAGCCATAACATGTTCTGTTAAAATCACATGAAGCAAGACTACTGTTCCCTGTTTTGTCCCCAGAAATTTATCAGGATATATCCATGATGCCTGATCAACTTTGAGAGCTTCCAGAACAATCACCACTGACAACCAAAGCTAGTGTCATTTTCTAAGATGATAACAAATAAAAGTAGGAGTCGGCTTTTTGCTCCATCAAACCAGCTCAGCAATGTAAGATGATCACGGTTGATCTGACTGTAACCTGTACTCCACTTTTCCGCATTTCCTCCAAAACACCATATGCCCTTGTCAATCAAAAATCTGTTTAAGATTACACACTGAAGAATCATTATTGCAACATCAGTACCAACGATAAATAACATGAAGTCTCTTAGGATCTTCCATGAAATCCAAGTCAAAAGTCACACGACACCAGGTTGTGGTCCAACAGATTTATGTGAAAACACAAGCTTTCAGAATGCTGCTCCCTTGTGGGTGCAGTTTCACCTAATGAAGGAACAGCACGCCAAAAGCTTGTGATTTCAAATAAACCTGTTGGACTATAACCTGGTGTCATCTGACTTCTGACTTTGTCCACCGCAGTCTAATGCCGGCACCTCAACATCATGACTTTCATGAAGTCATTTTACAGATTTTACAAATTGTAACTCTACATCAGCACCATTTTTGCATTTTATTTTGCCGGCTTTGCAACCTACCTGTATCATCTGTTCGGCCATTGGATAACCTGAAAGAATTTGAATGACTTCCAGCCTGCTTGTACTTTTTAAACCTGAAGAGATGAATTCCACAAAGTTACTAATTAATGCAATGCATCATATTGTAATTTCTTTTACAAAAATAAATTGCTCGATAATACAGTCATGGAAAAGAACACAAGTGGTTCACAATGTATTTTGCCATATGGGAAAGGGGGAAAACTTATATTTGTAGTTTCCCACTTGATAAGCTTGTAAATAAAATCTAGAAGTTTTCTGATGAAAGTGATGTTGGTAAAAGCATCTTGCAATCAATGACTGAACAGAAATACATACAGCAGAGAACAAAAACCCAAATAACTGCAGAAGCAAAAATCTGACACAAAACAGAAAATGCTAGAGAAACCCAGCAGGTCTGGTAGCATCTGTGGAGAGAAAGTGGAGTTAACATTTCAGGTCCAGTGGCCTTTCTTTAGAACTAATGGTAGCTAGGAAAAGATGGCATATATGTTGAAGACAATGGGTGAGGGGTAAAGGAGTAAGCAATAGGTGGAGCTGGAGCTTAGTGGGACAGAAAGACAATTAGGGAAATAAAGGGATCCATCCATTCTATAAACTTCAAGCATTTCCTCCAGGTCAGAGCGTGACAAATGTAAACCCACTATTCAAGAAGGGAGGCAGTGAAAAAACAGAATTACAGTGCAGTTAGCCCAGCATCAATAGTGGGGAAAATGCTCAGAGCCTGTTATAAAAGATGTAATGAAAGAACGTTTGGAAAGTATTTATAAAAAATAAAGCCAGCATGGATTTATCTAAGGCAACACATGCTCAACAAATCTATTGGAGTTACTTGAGAATGTAACTAATTGACCTTTCTTCAGAACTGACTGAACCTAGGTACATATGCTGAAGGTGGAAGGGAAGGAAGGAGTAAATAATAGCTGGAGATGGAGTCCAGAGAGAGAGAAAAATAGTTGGACAGACAAAAAAAAACACCTTCTTCCCTGTCCTCACCCCCAAACCCTCAATGCCAGGTCTTGCTATCGCATAGATTGCTACCACAGACAACCTATTATCAGCTATTAATGGTCCCATTAGCTATTCATTCTCCCAGGCTGACCTTTACCCATTCCTTTTCTGAAGTTCTGAAGATAGGTCACTGGACCCAAAAAGTTAACTCTGCTTTCTTCCACAGATGCTGCCAGACCTGCTGAGTTTTTCCAGAAATTTCTGATTTTGAAGCAGATAACAACTCACCTTCTCGGCACGATTTGCTAGAGATAGCAGGAACTGCCGATGCTGGAGAATCTGAGATAACAAGGTGTAGAGCTGGATGAACACAGCAGGCCATGCAGCATCAGAAGAGCAGGAAAGCTGACGTTTCTGAAGAAGGGTCCAGACCCAAAACATCACCTTTCCTGCTCCTCTGATGCTGCTTAGCCTGCTGTGTTCATCCAGCTCTACACCTTGTTATCTCAAGATATATCATAGTTGGCCTTATTTCAGTTTTGACATACATATGCGCTTCTACAAACTTTTGAAAATAGCTCTATGTTAAGATTCTTCTCTAAGAACAGCCACTGACTTCACAGCCTAGTAGCTCGATATGCTCAAGTTCAATACAGCATTGATTTTTCATCAGTTCTGAGGAAGGGTCACCGGACCCAAAACGTTAACTCTGTTTTCTCCTTCACAGCTGCTGCCAGACCTGCTGAGCTTTTCCAGCAACTTTGTTTTTGTTCCTGATTTACAGCATCCGCAGTTCTTTCGGTTTTTATTTTGATTTTTCATCATTTAGTACAAAAGAATGGTTACAGTTCTGGAGTAAACTATTTAGCCTGTAGGGCCTGTACTAATTCTTTGCAAGAAAACTTCACCTACTCCCACCACGTAACTGACAGCTCCTTTTGCCTTTAGCTGCTTACCCAATTCCTGTTTCAAAGTCATGAATGAAAACTGTCCACTATAAGTCCTAGCTGTGCATTCCAGATCTTAACCACTCACTGCATTAGATTCTTGAGCCTGCACCAAAGGATGAGTTCTCTCTAACCACTGTTGTAATACCTCACAATTTTGAATCGTTCTACCCAATCTCCTTCAAATTTTCTCTTCTCAGAGGGGATCAGCAACAGCTTCTCTAATTTGTAAATGCAACTGAAGCTTCTCATCACTGGAACTATTCGTAAAACTTATCTGCACCGTTTCTAATGCATTCCTAAACAACTGGGCACTATACTCCAGGCCAATCCAGTGTTTCATAATGGTTCATCATAATCTCCTTTCTTTTGTAGACTATGTCTCTATTTAAAATGTCCAGTATCATGTACGCCTTATTAGCCTTTACCTCAACCTGCCCTGTGAACTTCAACAATTTATGCACATATACCACAGGTCCCTCTGCCCCTGCCCAAACCATGAAACAGAGCCCCTAATTACATACTACCTTCGCTAATTTTTTTTTTCTACCACAAAGTATCACTTTGCACATCTCAGCGCTAAATTTTATCCGCCATGTCTCCCCAGTCCACCAAACAGTCCTCAAAGTCCATCACTATGCTTCTCAAAGTTCACAATATTGCCATGCTGTGTGTTCAGTTTTGAAGCTGCATCTGTGGACCAAAATCTAAACCCATTAATATTTGTCATGGAAACCAGTGCTCCAAATGCTGACCTACCTATAGGGAACATCACTGTGAATCTCCTTCCAAAGGAGAAAAAAAGGACAGTTTACCACTATTGTTTCCTGCCTGACAACTTACCATCTACTTCAAATTTATCTAAATGCAGGTCAATGGCATAAAACCTCACAGAAATTAGATATTAAAAGGAATTAGAGAAAATGCTGCCAAAATAATTACTTAGGAGTAGCACTGGAAAAAAATCAGTTCAGAATTCACACCAAGGTGAATGAATAGAAATATGACACTGATCAATTAGAATTAGATCAAATAGGGGTCCCTAAACTATGAGTCGTGATCCATGATGGACTCATGGGCCAAGTATCACCCCCTCCCTCAAGGTTACAACGGCAACTGGGGACTCTGGCAACACAGTCCTGAGATTAGCTCCAAGGCCCAATGACATATGGGTGGGGTATGATTTATTTTCATGCTTTGATTCAGAGTGCGTTTCCTAAAGGAAGGAACTCAAGGCCCAATTACTGCCTCCAGAACCAGCAAAATTGTTGGTGAAAAATTATCAACACTTGCACACGCAACTCAACTGCCACCACCACGCCTCATCTCCCCTATCCCTATCCACCTTGCCATTCAAACTGTTGACATGCCGACCATTAACTATTAAAAGAGGGTCACACCGAGAAAAAGTTTGTTAAGCATTAAATTAGAAGCATCATACGTACAAATGTTTTTTTTAAACTTGATCCAAACAGCAAACATGCTTGTAAGCTAGCACTCACTTACCTCAGCATATACAGAACTATAATAATAAATACGATGACCAACAGTGACGAGAGGGCTACCATTACAGCGATAATGGGCATTTCATCTGTAACAAAAAGAAGACATTACTCAGAATATAGATTATGAGCAGATGGACAAGACAATGCTGCAAATAGCCTGAATGAGAATCTCAGTAAGCTCATGCTAAAACACAAAATGACCGATACTAACAGAACAATCTGTAATCAATACAGAATCGTTGCTTAAATGGTTGCAGGATCACAAATATATATTGCTCACCTGAAGCAGAAGAGATAATTTGGCTGTAATAATACTTAACAATTAACTGACTTTGTTTTGATGGGCTAGTACATACACAACTCAAAGCTCCATTTCATACTGACACTATCAAAGCAGTAATCCAGTGAGACAACTCCTTAACTCCGATAACTGATTTAGTCTGTCATGTCTTGCATTCAGCCAATTCAAATGTGAGCCATCAAAACAGAAAATAACTGAGACTCAGAGCAATATAGATAACATATGTTTGAATGGAATGCATAAAATTGGGCTTCAATTGATTCAAGATCTGCAAGTACCCGTCATGTCTCAATAGACAATGTACTAGCAGTTCATCAGAAAAAAAAATTCTAAGATGGTGGAGGGGATTGCTATGACTCCTGACATATGAGCAACTGTTGCTCTGATTTGCCCCACAGGAAGGTTAATTTAGTCAGTTAAAGTACTAGGGTAGAACTATCACCTTACTTTAAGAGCAGTGGCAGAAGTGTCACCTGCTTAGTCCATCATTCCCCTACAGGTCCTTCAATGCATGATAGGGCCCCAACTAATCAATCCATAGGATCAATCCATGTTTCAGGCAGCTGACCAAGATACAGTCCCTATAAACAGGGCTGAATTGAGCAATGGCCTGAGTGCACCTACATTAGACCATCTCTCTGCTACGCTTGTCGGTGTTCAGCGGTTTTAACTTACAATATGGATGCAATCCTCTCACTTTATTCATAAAACATATTCACTTAATATTTCTTGCAAATATTATTATAGTATGTAGTTTTTACGCAGTAATTCCTTTTTGTGGTGGTTTTCCTTTTTGTTCACTCACGGAATGTGGGTGAATCTGGCAAGGCCAGCATTTATTGCTCATTCCTCATTGCCCAGAGGGCAGTTAAGAATCAACCAGATTGCTGTGGGTCTGGAGTCACATGCAGGCCAGACGAGGTAAGGATGTCAGATTTCCTTCTCAAAACAGGGGTTTTTCCGACAATCGACAATGGTTTCATGGTCATCATTAGACTTTTAATTCCAGTTGATAGAATAAGAGAGAATATTGTTCAAATTAGCTGCAACAGAAGCCCAACAAACATTTTGACCACAACAAAGAAAAGTATTTTAGCAAACTAAGCAAAATTATTTGCTTTTGTGTTATATATTTTAATTGAAGATATAAATAGTAGTAATGTGTTCGCACACAGCCGTACTCATAAACCATCCAAACATTTGCCAGTCACTTTAAGACACATTAAGGAGTTAGTTTGGGGGCAGGGAAATGGGAGACCTTTGAATTTAAGCATTCCGCAAATAAACAAACTTGGCCTATATACAAGATAAAACAAGACAAAATCTCAGGATTCGTAACCACTGGCATAAGCTCACAGCAAGGATTCAAGAGGTGGAGGTTGAGAGTAAGAGACAAGAACCAGGAGTTCAGAAAGACAAAGGTTCTTTAACAATCAGGGAGGCAATGAGCAGTAGAGGCCATGAACCAGAGGGTAAAAGGGAAGGCCAGGGGATGACAGCAGCCTCAAACTAGAAGGTCCACAATGACTTGGAGCCAGATTCTAAACAAGGCCTCACCTAAACTGCATTGTCAGACCTGTGTTATCACTTCTGGTGTGCTGAGGAAAGTGATTAAACCTTTAGTTATCTCGGGACAGTGACTTGAAATAAATTCGGTAATTTGCATATTAATCCTTTCTAACTGATTAAAGATTTAACAGCCATCTTAGGTTTGTACAACACCGCTTCAGTTCTACGACCCTTTGATCTTCTGCTTATAAGTTCTGTGTCTGATGCTACCCCTCTCACTGACATCTGAAGGAATGAGACTCTGAAAGTTTGTGTCTTCAAATAAACCTGTTGGACTATAACCTTGTGTCGTGAGAGTTTTAACCTTATCCATCCCAGTCCAACACCAGTACCTACACATCCCCGAAGATCAGGAGGAGAAAGATCAGCACTGACCAGGAGGCTCAATGACAACTGAGAAGTAGGAAGTTAGCATATTAGGTGGGGGGACAAGTAGCACTGAGGAAGCAGGGAAGAATTTAGAAAAATGAGGGGGGCCTTACAGAAACATATACAATTATGAACAGAATAGATAAAATAGAAGCAGGGAGGTTGTTTCCACTGGCAGGGGAAACTAGAACTAGGAAGAATAGCCTCAAACTAAGAGGGAGCACATTTAGGACTGAGTTGAGGAGGAACTTCTCCACCCAAAGGGTTGTAAATCTGTGGAATTCCCTGCCAGTAAAGCAGTTAAGGCTGCCTCATTGAATGTTTTTAAGGCAAAGATAGATTTTTGAACAGCAAAGGAATTAAGGGTTATGGTGAGCAGGCGGGTAAGTGGAGCTAAGTCCACAAAAAAGATATGGCAGAGCAGGCTCAATGGGCTAGATGGCTTATTCCTGCTCCTATTTCTTTTGCTCTCATGTTCTAAAAGGACTTGCTCAGGCTAGGAGAGTTTGCAAAGAAGTGGCAGATGGAATGCAATGTGGGGAAGTGTGAGGTTATGCACTGTGATAGAAAGAAGACACACAGACTATATTCTTAACAAGGTCAAAAATCATATGACACCGCATTATACTCCAACAGGTTTACTTGAAAACACATGCTTTCGGAATCTCGCTCCCTGAAGAAGGAACGAGACTCTAAAAGCTTGTGTTTTCAAATACCTGAAGGAGCGACACTCCGAAAGCTTCTGTTTTCAAATAAACCTGTTGGACTATAACCTGGTGCCTTCTGATTTTTGACGTTGTCCACCCCAGTCCAACACCAGCGCCTCCACATCACATATTCTAAACAAGGAAAGGCTTCGGAAATCTGAAGCACAAAGAGACTTAGGAGTCCTAGTTCAGGATTCTCAAAGTTAACATGCAGGTTCAGTGGCAGTTAGGAAGGCAAATGCAATGTTAGCATTCATTTCAAGAGGGCTAGAAAAAAAGATCAGTGATGTACTGCTGAGGCTGTATAAGGCTCTGGTCAGACTGCATTTGATATACTGTGAGCAGTTTTGGGTTCTGTATCTAAGGAAGGATGTACTGGCCTTGGAGGGGGCCCAGAGGAAGTTTACAAGGATCAGACTGGGGATGAAGGGCTTGTCATATGAGGAGTGGTTGTGAGTTCTGGGTCTGTACTTGGAGTCTAGAAGGAAGGAGGGGGAGGATCTCTGAAACTTACAGAGTACCAACAAGCCAAGATAGAAAGGGCACAGAGAAGATGTTTCCACTTGTAGGAGTGAAAAAGGACCTGAGGGCACACCTCAGAGTGAAACGACGACCCTTTAGAACTGAGATTAGGAAGAATTTCTTCAGCCAGAGGGTGGTTAACCTGTGCAAAACATTGCCGCAGAGGGCAGTCGAGGCTAAGTCACTTGAGTGTCTTTGAGACGGAGATAGATAGGTTCCCTAAGGGTTACAGAGAGAAGGTAGGAGAATAGGGTTGAGAAATATATCAGCCATGATCAAATGGCAGAGCAGACATGATGGATTGAATGGACTTATTCTGCTCCCACGTCTTATGGTCTAACAAAGCTGGGAGTCATTTTTTGGCAAACAAAATGTTGGTGTTTCACAAGCGATCGCCCAATCTGCGCTTACCAGTTCACAGGAGACCACGTTGTGAGCAGCGATTCCAGCAGACTACATTGAGTGAAGTGCAGGTAAATCACAGCTTCACCTGGAAGGTGTGTTGATAGCCTTGGATAATGAGGCGGGAGGAAATAAAGGCAGCTCTTGCACCTTCTAAGACTGCATGGGAGGTGTTGGAATTGGAGGAGGAGTGGATGAGGGCGGCCTGGAGGGAATGGTCCCTGTGAACTGCTGTGACAAGGAAAGTGAGGGGAATGTGTGTCAGGTGGGGCGTCGTGCTGGAGGTGGTAGAGGAAGAAGGAGTTGACTGTATACAAGACACTACTTCAGACTCTGAAGAAGGGTCTCGACCCAAAACGTCAGCTTTCCTGCTCCTCTGATGCTGCTTGCCTGCTGTGTTCATCCAGCTCTACACCGCATTATCTCACTACTTCAGACTCAGCTGGAATATTGCAGTCAGATAGGGCACCGCACATTGGGCCCTCACACAAATTTTTCATTCCTTTCCAGTCACAGGGGAAGTGTCAGAGAACTGGAGAACGGAAAATGTAGCTTCACTTTTTAAGAGGGGCGGTAGGCATGAACGTAGAAATTACAGATTGGTGAGTCTCATGTCAATGCTATTGGAGAAATTTATGAAGGAATGAATTAGTACACATTTGGAAAGGCATGGGTTAATTAAGGACAGTCAGCATGGCTTTGTCAGAGGAAGATCATGCCTAACAAATTTGTTAGAAATTTTTGAAAATGTGATCAAATGTGTCAATAAGGGAAGTTCAGTTGATGTACTTATATGGATTTTAGTAAAGCTTTTGACTGATTGAGAAGGGTAAAGCATTTGGAATTCAGGGAAACTTGATGAGCTAGATCAGAAAATGGCTTAGCAATAGGACCATAAGGGTAGTGGTAGAAGGCTGGTTGAATGATTGGAAGTCAGTGTCCAGTGATGTACCGCAAGGATCAGTACTACGACCCTCATTGTTTTAGACATAAATGATATAGATGAAAATGTGGAGGGAATGTTAAGTAAAACTGCAGATGACACCAAGATTGGTAGAGTGGTTAATAATGAATAAGATGGTTGTGGATTACAGAAAGATAATAGATGGATTGGTCAGATGGGCAGACCAGTGCAGATGATATTAATCCTGATAAGGGCAAGGTGATGCACTTCAGAATAAGAAACAAGATAAGGTAGTATTTAATGAATGGTAGGAC